ACGTGTTTTAGATCCGTTTAGGCGGACAACAATTCCTAATTAAGGGTTTGGTGATCGGCATCGAACAATTCAATATCGAGACACTCGCTCGGATTGTTGCATGCCTAACCGTTACATTAAGCAAAAAAGGCGAAATGATGCCGAAAATCATATCCAAAGGGGATTTTTTCAACGCTATACGTTTTAACATGTTCTAGGACTGGAACATGGTTTTGTGTATCATTTAGCGTTTTTTTTCCTGTGTAACATGTAGATACAGTGCACCTAATTTAGAAGAGAAAAAAGTTTTCTTCCGTGTTTTTGCAGAATTGCAGAATTTGATTTTCTATGTATTGCGTGTATCAACTGGCCCTGGCCGAATGGCTCACTTGACGAAAAAGTAATCTTATTTTTGCAATCAGTTAGCGAACACATTCGATTACATAATGTTTCTCGGGCGAATATGTGAGCGAACTATCGGATTGGTGCATACCTAGATTCGTTAATCAATCAATTCATCTTTTCTATAGATAAAAGAGTTTAAGTATTATCAAACGTTAAAAAAAAAGTACTTAAAATAGAAGTTGTACCCTTTCAAAACCACAGTCAGACGACTAAACTCATTTCCTCTTTAGTTTAGCCTTATTGTTCGAAAAATAAGGTGAGAAAGAAAGAGAGAAACTAAGAATTAGAATTATCTAGGTAGATGTTGTGAGAAGGAATAGTCACACCAATAGTGTTCATTATTAGTAAGCACATATTGATCTAATATAAAAATTGTCGAGAATAAGATGTTTGTCTTTCCATCTTTAATTTCTATTCCAGTTACCTTTGTTTACCTAAATATTATGTCGGAGAATATTAAAAAACATTATATGTAAAAGAAAATCAATTCTTTCTTTCTCAAATTTGTTTTCACTTCATGTTGGAAACATGTTGTTCTATTCTGTTTTTTCTTTTTTTCTGCATGATAGTTCTCTATAGCTGGACGAGACAAAAAAAAAGAAAGAGAAAAATAATATCAACTTTTTGACAAATATTATTTGTAACATTGAGATATTCAATGAAGAAACGATATTTTTTATATTAAGTAGTCTTTCTTTTTCTTTCTTTGATAAAAGAAAAGAAAAGAAAAGAAAAAGAAATTTGTTTATTTATTAACGTTTTGTATAAATAAAAATGGTGAAGGCCTCGATGAATTATTAAAATAATTTTTATTGAAAAATTAAATAATATTTAACAAAAACAAATTAAACACAAAAACGAACAGTAAGCAAAAAAAGAATTTCTTACAATCGGTTGGGGGTGATAAAATCGATTATTTGAAGTTTTCTTGTGAAATATCAATGAACATTTAAGAATAAGATTGGAAATATGAATACAATTGTCTTTTAGTAGAAAAAATTATTAAGTTTTCAAAGATAATAGGATAATTTGAACTAGTTTAAAGTCACGTTTTACATAGATAAAAAAAAAATGTGATTTAGAACTACTCACCAGAGATAGTAAAACAAAAAAAGAATAATAAGTTATTGATCGTACTACTATAATTTCATTTTTTCTGTTAACTCCTTTTTGTCATGATGAACGGTGAAGTTAGCGAATATCGTTTATCTTTAATCTATACAATGTTGTAATAGGACTCTTTAGAATAACACATAAAAAGTACCCACTTAGTAAGAACGCGAAAGAATTTTTTTTTTTTGCACATCTTATCGAATGTGAATCAATGGTGAATGAACATGATAGAAATATTCGTTATGTCCATTTCTTCTTCTAAAACAAATAGTCCAAATTAATAATGTATAGTTCTATTAAAGAATGACTAACCATCATCTTACCTTTTAATAAACATAAAATTCATCAAGATATCATTCTGTATCAACAAGAGTAATAATCAAATAATTTTCAAAAGGATAAATTTTATTTTAAATATTGAACGATAGTGAATAAATTTAATGTATATCGTAAACTAGAAAATTAATATATAAAAAAGAAAATTTTTCTTTAATGAATCTTTATGTATCAAGAATTTTGTATAATATTTAGAAAATCACATGAATTATTTTAATATTAGAGAAAGTGCAGAGAAGAAACATGTCTCAGTCGACGAACATTTTCATATATCTAAGATCATCGAACGTATTCTTTAAAAAAGAACAATATTTTTCGAGATTTTACTTAACAATACATAGTCATTTTGATAAATATTCGATGAATGGTACTTCGACATTTCGATTTATGTGCTGTGCCTTGATACCACATCATATGGTAAAAATAGATACATTATAGAGAAGAGTCAATGATAATCGTGTTGTTCATTTATCATTGATCTTGTCGCTGAATTGTCGCTGATAAACAGAATATTTTCTTTGAGATATGAAAATTTCGTGAAAACGTTGTTTCTCCATGAACATTATGAATCACATCGTAGTATCCATCTTCATAACTCATTTTGATCATCTGTGTATTATTATGTAATGTTCAAATTGTCCTTCCTCTCTATCATATCTTTTTTCATTAATATTCACCATCTCTTGAAATAGATGTATAGAAATCCTATAAGATATTATTTCTTCTCGATGACAGTTGTATTTGTTTGTTATTCTTTAATTCAGGTGTGACCTTGATATTTGTCTGTCTATGTATTGTGTATGTATACATATGTGAAACATTTAAAAAAAGAAAATAACATTTCAAGTATTATGATTGCTATTGGCATTCGTAATACTTGCACTATTGACTATTATGCGTCAGATATCAGACAGATTCTTTTATTTCATGCCATCTGATATTCTGTCAAAAAAAAATTATAAAGAAACTTATTTTAAATGTTTTCTTTATTATATATTTGTTTCTTTTTTCTATCAGTAAATGAGCGGAAAGGATAAACGAATGATGCAAAAATTTTTTGCATAAATATCGACCATTATTTCTCTAATGTCACCAATATGCTGGAAACTTAATCATTTTCCAGTTGAAAAGATTAAAATCTGAATTTCAAAAAACATATAAAACAAAAGTTTTATGATTGAATTTGAGTAAGAAAAAAATTGAAAATACGAAATATCCTCAAAACAGCTCTTGTACAGTGTGTGTTTTTTCTTTATTTTCTGACTATAGCTTGAAGATAAAAGATCTTTTTTGAAAATCGAATCGATCAGAATGTAGTCTCGGCAAAACTCTATTGATCGCTCTCCTACTTTTGAAAATTTCTCAGTAATGTCTTAACAGGAAAAAAAGGTGTATTGTGAAAGCCGTTAACAGAAAAGTCTCACTTAATAATGATGATGATTATATAATTTTTTTTTCATGAAGACGTTGTAGAACAATAATAGGAAGGACTAATTGTTCATTCTTTTTTTCTCTCACTGCACGATAGTCATTATAATTGTTTTTAAATAAAAATGAGCTTATACAAAACAAAAAAGAGGAAAAAAAATTATTCATGTATCTTATGATAAGAAAGAGTGTTGAATAAAGTAGGTAAATCATCAATACATTTTCTCTTTAGTAAGATATATAATTATCGGGTTTTTTTTCCTACTTTTAGTAACATTAAATTAGTTATCTCATGTTTTCTTTTTTTTTTCCATGGATAGTAGAGGGAAACGGATGTAGTAAATACTCAAAGAATTCTAGAGATACCCTTATGTCTCTCTTATTTAGTTACATCGTCTAAATTTAGAATGTCTATGAATGATTAGTTTTTTTATTCTTTCTTTTCGTATTTTAAGTTTAACTACCCTAGTAGAATTTCTTATATCCAAGATCTTGGATTCTTGAATCTTATAGACAAGATCTTGGGAACATAAATTTCAAGATTTTGAGTGAATTAAGTCATAATGTTTCAAAGTACTGTAATGGAGAGTTTTTTTACATTTTTTTTCTTATATAACGGCTATAACCATTAGACATACAATTATATGTAATCACAGGCTCATATTTGAAGAGTTGTGTTCAAGAAAGAAAAAATGTCGACGTTATTTTGACTATAAAATTCTTTTTCGGAATGATATATAAGCAAGAGTGTGAAACAAATCTGTGATTCAAGACTTATCAAGATCTTGGTATAAGAACTCAAGAAATTTCAAGATGTTCAAGACCTTCGGGTTCTTTGGAATCTCTTAGATTTTCTTATCAAGATCTTGGTTATAAGAAGTTCCACTAGGATAGACTTTGATCTAAATTTTTCTAAATATATGAGAGAATATTTCATCTGTTTTTGTAATTTCTTTACTATTTTAATAAGAAAGTTCTACAATGTTAAAAATAATTTCCTTTTCTTGTTTTAAATTTGTTTTGTAAATGATAAAGAAGAAGAAAAAAAAAAATAAGTAATATTTATTTATCCATGAGTATTAAAAAAAAATTGCATTTACTTCAATTTGTTTTCACTAATTTATTTATGTTCTTAACCATATAAAAAATAAATAATTAATAAACAGCGAATAAGAAGAAAATCGGATCTATGAATTGCATTCCACTTGTTCCCCATTTAATTTTGTTCTTTATCGGATTGAAAGAAAAAAAAAGACAACATCGAACAACGACTCAGATTTTCTATGTCATTTAAGGTGAATCCAGAAAAAAAAAATGCAAAATTATTTGTGAAAAGAAAAAGAAGTAACCTACTGTTTTGTTTTTATTCTGAGAATACAATGACTTCATTGTTTAATCCGTTTTTATATTTATTAAGTCAGAAATAACTTTATATAGAGAATTTCTCATAACATAAATGTTAAATCAATTATATATAACATGTACTAATATATAATTCTACAACTGTGAATAAAATTATGCATGTTTGGAAATTATACAGGTAAGTTTCTAGTGAGATATTTACAATTACTTCTCTCTCTTGTTTAGACGAACTGTTTTTTTTGTTTTTCTCTCTTCTTGAGCAGTCATTATTATTATTGTTAATCAACTTCTAGAAAGAGTTGATAACTATCTATGACATTGTTGTAATTAATGTACGTTTATATTTTTGTATTCCCTAGTTGAATTGGTTTGAAACGATGAGTGCTGTGATTGTGCGTTGGAAAAATCGTATACAAAAACCAAATCATCGTGATAACACAAAACAAATTCCTGCTGATACAAATGAATATAAAGTAAGAATTAGCCAGTAACTTTGGACGAATTCTTCTCTTCAAACGGACACTCCTTCCCTCAGTAGTTTTCACTGTAGTAAAGAAATTACGAAGGTTTTCCAGAAAAACGCTTCAAAATTCGGTTGCTTTCGAATTGCGATTATTTCTATGTAAGTAAGTCGATGGAAGTGTGAAATATACATTTAGTTTTATTAATGTACAGATTTTCGTAAAATAGACCATTACAGCTATTAAGGTGTAATTATATGACCCTAGTGAATGTACTTGCAACCAAGTTCTTAAGAACTTGAAGTATGTACCCAAGGACTTGAACAAGTTCTTAAGAAGTCTTGTACTTTCTGAGTACTTTCAAGGACTTGAGCAAGTCCTTATCAAGTACGATCAGTTTGCTCTCGTGAAACTTCTTGTACCTAAGATCTTGACTTCTTGAATTTTTTCAGTAAGATCTTGAAGCAAGATCTTGGCGAGAAAACATAAGAAATCCAAGATATTCCAAGAACCCAAGGTCTTGAATCATCTTGGCTTACTCCACTCAAGATCTTGATAATTCTTGGATCACCGTTTTGTTTCACACTCTTGATTGTATATGGATGCAAATTTGCATACTTAGAATAACTTCACTTTTGTTTTGTTTTTTGAACATATTCATTCGAGGAAGAGCTTACGATCATATGCGATCGTATGACTGACGACTATGGCTGTTATATAAAAAAGGAACATTTAATAAAAGCCTTTCACTCAAGATCTTACAACATGAGCAGTCATGGACTTAGAATGTACTTGACCTAAGTACTTGGTTCAAGTAAACTACTTGTCAAGTATCCAAGTCTTTAAACTTGCAACCAAGTTCTTGTGACATTCCTTGTACCAAGTTCTTATCCAAGTCCTTGGTCACAAGTACATTCACTAGGGGAGTGATCGATCCATACAGATTTTTTTATTCACATATGACTCACTCTCAGCTTTATACTTAGATAGGTGACTGAGAAAGATTTAATGTTTGTTTTAGCGTCTGTATATTTATATAGATTGCTGCACGCAAACTAAAACGTTGAATGAGTTACACACCGTATCGAAGCGACATCTCCATATATGTCATAAAAGATAAACTGACATCCAAAGGATATTGTAGGGATTGATACCATTCCTATAATATAATTACGTAAAATTCTTGTAGTAGGGTCAGAAAGAAAATATCATATAGTCTTACGATAAGATTCCTGTATAATCCTGTTCTAGGATGTCGTAGGATTGCATAAGATCCTACAATAGGAATTCTACTATTTCCTGTGCTTCATGACATCCGATAGGATATTTTAACCTGGATACCATACGAAAAACATTGATAAAACTGTGTATCGTAAATTTAACGTCTGTTGTTTACAGGTCAGCATAGGTCTCCATGCTTTTCGTCGTTTTTACTCTGTGTGTCTGCTGTTACTACATTGTGGCACATTGCCGGAGCGAAAAATTTTAAAAGTTTGTTTGGTCAGAATCGATATAGGATAGTTAGGCATCATCCTGTATCTCAGGTTCAAAAGATTTTGAGCCTGTTGTTTCAAAAGATGTTGACATGCATCTGCAGCCATATTTTAAAAAACTGCACTGTAAAAAATAGTCGTAGATTAATAAACTATCAAAAAGGGTTTATTGAGACCAATAAACCTTTTAAAAAACGCTTTTCCGTTTTTTATATCCAAAAAACTAAAAGCGTTCGTGACAGATGCAAAATGAAAAACCGGCGGTTTTTTATCAAATAATAATTTATAAAAAACCCTTTTCAGTTTTTTGTCGAGTCTAAAAAACTAGCTAAAAAACTGAAGAGATTTTTAGCTGGTATTTTAAACTCGACAAAAAACTGAAAAGGGTTTTTTATTTTTGATAAAAAACCGCCCGTTTTTCATTTTGCATCTGTCACGAACGCTTTTTAGTTTTTTTGATATAAAAAACGGAAAAGGGTTTTTTAAAAGGTTTATTGGTCTCAATAAACTCTTTTTGATAGTTTATTAATCTACGACTATTTTTTTACAGTGTGATTTTGGGATTCTTCAAAAATCTTTTTCTCCCAAAACAACCTTTTTCTCAACTAAGATATCGAACCCTGGCAATCTGCAACTAGCTTCATATTAATGGATTTGTTGCAAATCCTTCAAATTTCCTGATTGAGAATGAAAATTTAGTTCATTCGAAAGAGGGCACAGAGCTTCTCAATCTCATTAATATCTTTGCACAAAAATAGTCGTTTCAACGGAAGTAGAGACTTAATTATTATTATTGTTTTCGTTCCAGCAAATCAAAAGTGCTAATCAAACATTAGAAAAGTTGCATGAAGAAAACGTATTATTAAGAGAACGGTTTTTGAAATTGGAAGAAACGGCCATGAAGATGGTGAGTATTACAAGACACCATAAAGGATTCTATTCATCCAAGTATATTACTACACTTACTTATGTGTGTATGTATGTTTCAGTGTCAACAATGGGTATGCGATGAAAAAGTCCATTTATTAAGACGTATTGAGGAACTTGAAACAAAAAATTATCATTTATCACAAGATTATCATAGTTATCAAGCACAATGTGATAAATGTATTCAAGCAATAACAGATTTAATTATGAAAGCAATTGGTATGCAAGAGGTTGGTGTAGGCAAATTAATTTTTCGTTAACTTATTAAAAATTCTGTGAGAAAAGTCTCGATAAAATATACTTAATGTCTTGTTTGCTGCCTTTCGTTTGAAATATGAAACATGCTTAAATGAAAATAAAAGCTTCCACCTTTTCCTTACAATGATTAATTCAAAAAAAATCAGAAATAGAATAAAGTCAATTTTAAAAAAATGCGTTGGCAACACATTCAAATGCAGATATTTTTTAATCTAAGATCCAGTTCCTTTTGTTTCCGAAATAAAAATATCCTTTTTTGCAAACAGCAAGAAACGCATCTCGAATATGAAACGTTTTTATTTCGTCTTAATTTTATCTTAGCACCACTTTACTGCTGAGCGTATGAAAACGGATTATATAAAAGACGAACGATTCAGTTATTGTATTTAATAGGAGTGTAGTACTTTAACTTACACGGTTTATCAATAATTCTAAGTAGAACAACTCCATAAGCTGTGAAAGAAAGATATTGTAAAATTTTTTTTGTAAGAACATGAAAATTACTAGAAAGCTAGTGCTTTACAAGTGTAACAACAGGAAAGAAAACAGAAGAATAGAACAAGAACTACACATACACACTCACATAAATAATAACAAAAGGAAGCAATTAAGATACTTATACACGGACATAGAACAAATAAGTATAAATATACACGGGATAAATCTGTACAACGACTATCAATCGAAATTAAAATGAAGAACTTTTTTCTATAAATAAGTAGAAGATATTGTTTTAATACAGTTTTTGAAAAAGTTTAGTGTAGTCTGATGAACCCAAAGCACAAGACAGTCTATTCCAGTCCTCGACAATCCTGAGTATAAAAAACCTTGGATAGATTTCCAGGAATAGGTTTTAGGTTCAGTGCATTTGTTATAAGTTTTTCTCTCAGTTTCAAGAATGGCAGAGCGGGCGATGAGTTTCGACTGTAACAAGACGCTATTATCGTCATTTAGTTTATAGAAATACAGTAGACGAGAAAATTTTTGACAATTTTCTAATCTAGTACTTTTAATTTATTTAAGAGAACAGTTGAACTTGACTCAAGATCTTTGAAAATAATTCTACATACTAATTTTTGAACGTTGTCAAATAAGAATAGATGAGCGATAGGATAAAAAATCATAGACGATAGAGCACGTAGTGTTGAGATGATTTTCATTCTTATCTTACGATTGTTCGAAGTACATTATCAGCTTCTAAGCGATGTATTTAAATAAGCAAAATTCATTCGTATTTCTTGTCTGTCAGATATATATAGATTGTCATATTGGAGTAAAAAAGAGTTTGAAAATGTATATGTAACTGATAAACACTAATTGTGGATAAATTCTAAACAAAATTGAGATCTATCTAAGTTAAAGTTGTTCATTTAAAAATTGCATAACTTAAAAATTTCGACTATAAAAAAAGGTAGCTGTAATAATTTGTCCATGACCTAAAACCTTTTTTGTTTGTTTCTGTTTCTTGCTTTTTCAATTCTGTTATCTAAACAGGCGCAATATTATTGTAATTGTAACTTCTATATTGTTATCATCACGCTAAATAGATCTATACGCATCATTATTATCTATTCTGACTATTCTTTAACATATGACCTATTACGTGAAACAGTAACTTTCTTCTTCTTCTTCCTTTTTCTTTTTTTTTTTTTTTTGTTTCAGTAAAAACGAAAATCATTTTGAAAATATTATAAAACATGAATAAAAAAAAGTACCACTGCTGTGTGCCTATGTATACTGTCTTTGTTCTTTTCAGTTTACTTTAGGTCAATTGGAATCTAATTGATACCTACGTGATTGAGTAGATGTAAAAATAATTCATTTTTTTCAATTTGTATGTTGAAAAAAAAGTAAAAATTCGAAACTTACCACTTGTGGTTTTTTTTTTCTTTTTCTTCTTCTTTCTATTATTTGTTTATATTGTTTTTTAAACTCTCAATGTATTGTCAACATACTTGACAAATAAGAATAAAAGAAAGAGATAGAGAGAAGAATGAATGGCATATGTAAGCATACTTCTCTCGTCAAATTGAGTTTTATCTAATATATTATAATGAATAATAGTACATTTTTTTCTCGAGTATCTAAAAAACACCATAATAATAACAACAACAAAATATAAAAGAGAAAATAGAGATGGTTGTTTATATTATGATGGACAGTCATTTATTTCCAAAGTATAAACCGTTATCGATATGCATTATCAATAATTATGAAATACTGAGATCTTCGCTATCTTTCTTCTTCTTTTCCAATTTACAATAATTATCTTTAATAAAATGAAGAAGAAATCTAAAAAATCTCAGAAAACAAAAACAACAATGTGTAGTGTACAAAATTTTATAAGAAATTGTATTCTGTCGTGTAAGACGGAACAAATGGCATCGCCACAGGCAAGTGTGAGAAAATATCAGTACTTTATATTATTCAAAATGAATACATTCCATTATATGGTGTCCAATGCTCGAAATACATTTGGAGTACTAGATGATGATATTTAGGCACATAATCGCCTATACTTAAAGACAACAATATAATAATCTTTATTTCTTTGTAGGAATTGCGAAAACAATGCATTGATCTACACAATGTCGTAGATGAAGTCAAATTCAGATATCAGCAAGTACGTTATATTCTATGTGCAATTTCTTGCGTTAACTATCATTTTTCTTTCTAAATCATTGTACAACATATAGAATAGAAACTACTTTATCGGTTTATTCCAGAAACAAGTTCACATGTTTGAGTTTCTACTCCACTGATAGGCAAATCTAAGTTAGAAAAAATTAAAGGGTTATAGATTTTCTCTTGGTAATGTTGTTTTACAGAAAAAAGGCTGAGAAACTTAATGAAAGCATATAAGAAATCGGATGCCACGCCCACACGAAAAAAAAGGAAGAGGTCGGAGGATGTTTATTTTGAGGACACTTGGGGCTATCTGTGCATATAAAGAAACGAACAAGTTTCTTCTTAAAATTTTGGAAATCTGGAGAAGTTTTTTTTATAAATCTTCTAAAAACTCTACTTTCGAAAAACATTTATAAATTCTTTTTTTCCTACAAAAAGATTCAGTCAATTTAACTCTCTCGAACAGCGGAAATCGCAACTCTTTAAGTCAATTCTACATTTATGCGTCTAAATGAGATCCGACTTCGTGTCTTGTTACAAGTCAGATTTTCTTTTAGAGTGTACTAAGGGCGAGGAAAAAAAGAAAAGTAAGTAATGATAAGACAATATTTTGGAGGATAATCGATTAAAAATCGTTATCTTTTTATGCAGGGTGATGAATATGTCCATTAATGATAAAAGAAAATCTTTAAACATCGATCTAAGTTATACGGTGTAAAAACAGTGATGAGCGGCGTAGAAAGGATTTATTAACAGATAGTTTTTGATAACCTAAGAAGTATGAATAATAATTATGACAAAATAATAGTTGTTTTAAACTGTTTCTCGAAGATTTAATGAGACCATTTTTTCCACAACAAAAAGATTGCTCTTAAATATCATAGAAGCTCGAATACAGCATACTTCTGTTAGACTTGAAAACAGAATTTAGTTTATTCATACTACTCTACTTTTGGATCTGGAATAGGAAGTGCACGAATCTTCTGACTGGTATTCTAATCTTTTCCTTTTTAGAATGAACAGAAACCGAAGACAACCAGAAGTGTTTCGTGTCAGTTTAGTGGTGAAAATCAGGTTAAATGAAGATTAAAAAATAGGACACGATAACTAAACTCTTCATACTTGTTTGTTCTCTTATTTAGAGCTATCTGAATAAAGAAACATTATTACCAATTCAACCAGAATGGCTGAGAAAACGATTGTTAGTTGAAGAAGAAGAAGATTATAATGATGAAACAAGGAATTTAAAATTATTTGGAAATTATCACAACTCATCGTTCGTCACCGATAAAACAGGTAAGACTTCTATTGTTACGGTTATCCAACTATAAATTCTTAAGTTACTTTTTCCATATCTTGATCTTATTTTTCGTAAAGGCCTCTATTGACGATCTGAAACTGTAAAAGGAATAATAAAACTAGAATTTTAAGATAGTCATCGTATAATAATCACTGAAAACTACATATTAGATCCTTGAGAGCTGAATAATACTGAAAAAGTAAGGTAATATTGATGCAGAATTGATCTCGTTGGTTTGTGACAGATTATTTAACTTATTAAATGAAAAATTAACAATATTGAATTAATTATCGAAGAATACATTCATCTGTAGTTGTAATACATAGTTGATAATTAGTAGGAGAATGGAAATATGCCGTACAAGTATGGAAAAAAAAGTTTATTATCAGATGAAAAACAAAGTTTGAAAAATGCAAGTCTACTTTCATGTTTCTCTAATTTACATGGCTATTTAAATAAAACTCGACTTTTTACTCTGCGCAATCTGCTCAGAAATATGAAAAACAAAAAGTATAATTCATGTGAAAAAGATTTGGAGTGAACCTGTACAAAAAAGAACCTATAAAGTTTTCTTTTTATTAATTTTGTTTTCACAGATTAGTAGTATGTACACGCATTGTTTTGAACATCGATTTAGCTATAATAAAGAAACAAGAAAAAAAATTGTTGATTTGTTTCGTTATTTCTATAGTTGATTTTTCTACATATATCTTTTATAGTAGCCACTTTATTACAAGTGCAGAATAGTCAAAAAAAGTAGTCTATATAATTTTTCCGGATCGTTTTGGAGCTGTTTGTTACATAAAACAAAAATTCTATTACTCAGTATAACGTGCCTAAGGAAAACATACATACTACTATTACTAATTATATACACATACGCATATGAGAAACAAATTCTTGAACAAGAAAAAGAAAGAAACTGGAAAAAATATTTTTAATAAGAAAAATTATCAGTGATGACATCATACAACGAGAAAACATTTCTTGTTCTTCTTCGCTAACTATCGACGTATGTCATATATAACATAGTGTTTGTCTTCTTGTGAACGACGAGTATTCTAGACAAAAAAAGGTAAGAAGATTAGAAACTAAAGTAGAAAAACTAAAGTAGAAATTTCGAATAACAGATTACATATTCTATCAAGGCTAGGATGAACCAATCTATTCCCACAATTTTCCTTATAATGATAGTTAGAGAAGAAGTTTTAAGCAAAAATAGAGAAATATGAAACTTTAAAATTAAAAATATATGCAGTTGAATCAATGAAGAAAAAGTGAACGTTAAGTTTTAACAGATTTTAATCAATTTTCAAGACCAAATTCTAATGTTCAGTTTTAGTGAACTTTGTTGAATTTTTAAAAGTCCATTGGAATACGTTAACACTAGAATGCTCGGAAATTTTCATGACCTAGAACGCCCAAAGCGGTCATTTTGACCGTTACTGTTTTTTTTTAAAATTTTATACTTAAAAATGGTTCTGAATTAAAAAATGAATTGAAAATTCTGTAAAAATTAATTTTTGTGGAACAAATTAAAACTTATGACATAATTTATTTTTAAATAAATTGTATGCAGTTTGTCTTATTAAGGATAAAAATCACAAAACGGTCAAAATGACCGTTACGGGCGTTCTAGTGTTAAAGTTCCAAGCCCATTGTGTGATTTTAACTTGAAAAAATTAACTTTCAAGTTTTGACTAAATGAATCATATATTCTCCTTCCAGAAAAATCTCATATTATTAACACAGCATTCAGTTGATCTGTAGGTGAACTATCGAAAGTCCAAAAGTTGGAGTTCAGTTCGCTTTTTTTCCCCCTGAATCGAATACTTAGAAGCTTTCGTTAGAGCTACATCCAATTTCAGAAAATCCTTATGAAACTATTTGTCTTAACCCTTAAACATTTATTTCTTAAACGTGAATAGAAGCATATAATACTCGGTAGAAATCTTTGAATCTCATGCAAACATCAATTCTTGTGTGAATGCTGATCTACTCTCATATGGTGATCACCGTACAAGTATAGACTTCTTTTACTGAACGGTTCGTGTGATCTATGCGTTTTACTCCGTTTCCGTTAAAATGCGAATAACTTTTGATTCAATTGGAATGAAAAAATTTTTACAATAAAATGTACCTATAAGTCTTCTCTATTTACGATACGAATTTAATGTCTTACCTCTTAAATGGCTACTGAAATAGAGCAATTTTACGATTCTGAGTCACTTTTGACATTTGAAGTTCTTTCCAAAAAAATTTATAATTCAATCTATAAACATTATTCTGAGACAAAAATTACACTAAATACTCATTGATGTATACAGATTAGTCACCACCCAAAGTGGTAAGGGTAACTCAATTTTGCCCTTAAAATCCATGTAGAATGCGTAGATATTAATAGAACATATATGAGACGAGGAGTTTGAAGAACAAAGGATCTCTCTCTTTTTATCATATCTTCTGCGATTAATGTGTATCATAATCATGTCAAAGTATTATAATTAGGAAAATCTATGAGGAACAAAAAACAGCAGGTGAAACATTCACAGTAAAATTTCGCCCTTAATCTCATCTTGGAAAAAACAAATTTTTAATGGAATTATTTTGTTTGGAAAACGTTTGTCAAATATAGTATTCGATGCTATTTTATCTGTTGATCTAAAATATGTTTATTAAAAATTTTGCGTGGAAATATATGAGACGTGAAAAATATGTAAAAATATGTAAGGTGTAATATATGTGTTAAGACAGGAAGCCCAAGGGTTAAGATGCGAGTGTAGCATTAGCATAATGAAATAAAAATTTCTTTTCAAAATAAAGACTTTTCTTTTGAAATGACCTTTCAACAAAGAACATGAAATATCTTAAAAGAAAAAAAAAAACATTAGGATATTTATAGATTAAGAGAAAATTTTTCTCATTCAATATTGAACTATATGACAGATTCTTAGAAAATAGAGTTGATGGAATAGTCAATGATATATTAATTATTATTTAATGCAACAAATTTATATGTCATATTGTGTGGGTGAAAAAATAACTATATTTAAATGACGGAAAGAAACAAATTAAGTATATTTTCTATGACAATTTATTGAAGTATAATTAAATGAAATACGATTAAAAAACATAAAATTGATAAGTATTAAATGTATAAAAAGAAAAAAATATACGATCGATGCCTCTAGCATCATATTGTAAACACCATGTCAACAAATTCGGCTAGCTAATCTAAAAAAAAACTTATAAATATGAAATTGGATCATTTGAAAAATGAAACCTTGTCAATGTAAATAAGAGAACATTTGTCATATTAACATATACCCGGAGTCTATACATAATAATATTATGTATAAATTTTAAACAAACGTTTGTGTTGACGTGTAAAAGAAAAGCAGGGAGGAGATACCATATAAAAGGTTTTTTTTTTTTTTTTCATAAAAAATATTTGAACACAACCGCCCCGCCCCGTTACATGTCTCAAATTCAAAATCACTTATTTTTTTTATTTTTTATTTTTCGTCATGTTTTATGTGAATGAAAAATAAACTTAAAAAAAAAGTACGAGAAAAGACTGCGGTATATATATTTTGACATGTACGAACGATATCAAAGTTTATATGTGCATTGTTCGATAATAGTCAAATTGGCATATCCTCTCGTGTCGTTCAAGAATAATAAATTCAATTATGTACACTTGTTTGAAGAGAAAAGAAGAGAAAGAGAGAGAGAGAGAAAAAAAAGTTAAAAAAAAATAAAATAGAAAACAGCCATTGTAGCACCTGTAGAGATGAGAAAAAAAAAAAAAGTTTGAGTTTTATAAAAATTAAAAATTATATTTATAAGTTAGTATTTATTTTGTATGCACTTCTTCTACGTTGGAACAAATTTATAATTACTTTTTTACAAATCTTCAACTACTTTATATTAATTACTTTCTTTTATCTACAAATAAAGATCACTTACTCACACACAGTGTCCATTATACACTCATTTTCATTTTCGTATTTTTCAAAAAATCAAAAGCACCATAATAGCTCTTTAGTCATTAATATGAACGAAGTGCTTTTTCTCTTCTCTTTTCTTCTTCTTTTGTTTTTGTATTTTACCGAAACAAAAAACACATTTGAGACACTAAATTGTTGGTCTAATATTATACATCTATTATCTACCTGTATTATCATATAAAGAGACAGAGAGATAGTGAGTAAGAGAGAGCGAAAAAAGAGAAATATTTATATAGACGATGAGCTGAAGATTAACATAGATAGATAGAGATATATATTTCGAAAATGAGTTTGAAAATACCTTTTTCGTGTGTGAGAGTATGCTACTGTCCACATATTGTCAACATAAATATCACATATTTTTCAATCTATCTGGATAAATATAAAAAAATGTTAAAGAGACGACATCCATCGTCATCATTATCATTACCTTATTAAAAATAAAACAGAGAAGAGTGTCTATGATCTTCAAAAATAGTATATAACAACATGGTGATAAGTGATAATGATAATAGTAATAATAATGATGATGGTGTTGCCGATAGTGCCATATATTTACCTGAACGTCAAAACTTATTATTATCGAATTATTGTACGAGAAATTCTAAACATTCAAAGTTATCATTGAATTCATTTTCACGGCAAAAATCATTTAATTTAATGGCATATATGACATCACCCAAAACAGTATCGAATAATAATAAAAAAAGACGTAAACGATTTTGTCGTGCGTTATGCTGTACAGGTAGGAAGATGATGAAGGAATCATTTTTTTTTAACATTTTATTTTATGTATTATATGTTTTGGACAGTTATATAACGTCTAGGAGAGAGAGAGAAAGATCTAGAATGAAACATCGACTGATATAAATAAATATTATAAGATGTAAATAATAGACTACTCTTATCTTATATAGGGCAGTCACTCACCAGAGCTGAGTGATTTGCGAAAATATAGACTGAAAAGAAAAGCTTAGTAGATTGGTATAGTTAGTACTAAGTAACTGATGTCGAACACGTTAATTACGATTAAAAATCTGATATACTCTCTAAAGGATATTTCTACTCCGGGATACTTTTTTTGAAATCTTTGAATGACAAATGTAGAAATCCTCTTTTTTTGGTTCTGTGGAATTAGAAATACCCTCCAAGGCATCGTACAAAATCAAAAAGATATACAAAAATATCAAAATGATGATATAAATTACGGTTAAGAATGTTTTTCCACAAGTTTGTAATTCCATAGAACCAAAAAAACGGGGGTATCTGCATTTCTCCAAGACGCCAGAAAGGATATCCCAGCATAGAAATGGTTCTGTAGTCTCTTCTGTTTAGAGAATAGTCGACTATACTGAATCGTTTGAAAATTATGTTTATAATAGACAAAAGACGAATTGTTTGATATTTTCTAACATATCTGAAGCACTTTTCTACTCTAAACACCAGAGGTGATAGTATATAGGTAACATTTATCCAAAAATTTATTGTATTTTCAAATGTGATCCTATGAATCTACAGTAATATATCTTTTCCTTTCATTTGAACCTATTATAGAATATATTATAGACGAATAGATATTAATAGACAGTTAATAGGAAGACTATATCACTTAAGTACGACAGGGAGAGTCCAATACTATCATTATTATCTATTCTATTGTGTTCATAATATATTTTTTATTGATTTTGTTTAGACCTCCACATCACCGAAAGTCAATCGAGTATATATAGTGTAAATCGAAGTAATTTGAATCATACTCATACAACAAAAGTATCTTCAACTGGATTAAAAAATGATTTGTGTTTTTGTCATGTGGATAATAACAATGATAATAAAACAACACCCATCCATAAACGAAAAGTTTATCTAAATTCTTTTAAAACCATTGATAATAATAGTTCACCTCAACCAACCGTAAATACTCTTTTATTTCAAAATAAACAAACAATATCATCTCCATCTCAACGTGTTAGCCAGCGTCCACTTTCATCACCGGCCTCTTTACATCGTTCACAAACTTATGTATTACAACAATATAATAATAATATTTCATCACCATCACGAAAAGAAAAAATTAAAACGTCAACTTCACCTGTTATGGAACAAATTGTAGACAGAATGATGTCAACAACTACAACATCATCAAAAAAATTTCCTATATCCGATCAACAGCAACACTCTCCCGTTGTCAATAAACCATCATCAATAATATATTCAAATCATGAAAGGTTAAATAATACCAATTTTGTATCACGAGCACAAATTACATTCAACACTGACCCAGTGGCAAACAAAACGATAAACTCTAACACACGTACACCACAAAATACATATTATCAACCTTCACCGAACAGAAATCAGGTGAATCGAAATACAAATCAAAAAGTAAGTGTCACTTGTTTTTAGTATACTCTAGGGAGAGTAACAGCTGCATGAATTTTTTTGATTACTACACTATATTACGATATGGTTTAGATTCCTTTTCGTCCTACAAATAGTGTTTATAAAAATGCTGCGCCGACACCGGTCGTTCAAAATTTTCCAATACTCAATAGTCGTCCATCCACCTTAAAACAATCTCCCCGAACCAATTCTGATCGACAAAATCAAGTACGATCTCCAGTAGTAAACGATTCCCCCAGAACGTCATCACGTTTCCCACCAGCGGAATCTCCACGACCAACTAGTTTGAGTGGTGTTAATCGACGACGCTACGATAAAACGAATATTTCACCAGTTACGAATGGTAATAGTAGTCCAAAAAGAACAGAATTAAAAACTGTGAGTGCTATTAGGACACGAACAAAACAAGTGCCCGACGTTGTTAATAAAGATCGTACTTCTCAAATAGTTTTGGAGAAAAAAATGTTATCGGCAAGAACAACAGCTACTACCACCACATCGTCATCCTACTGCTCTTCTACAGATAAAAAATACACTATAGCCGACTCACCGCGAATACCATCTAGTCACACAAAACATCAGCCGTCTGATAGTACTAAATCAAAAATAACTCAAAAAACTTTTCAGTCACCAAGAGTATCGAATCTCGATGAAATTATTGTGAAACAACAACAGGAAAAAACTCGAGTTGAAACTTCTTCAAAGCCTCGTTGTTCAACTCCCTCACCTATACTGCCTCGAACCCCATATGAAAAGCCGTTATCTAGTGAAACTAGTGTCGTAGCTCCCTTAGGATTAGAAAACGATAGATGTTATTCCACATTCTCAAACGAACTACATCAAAATTTGCCAAGTGAAAAAGCGTCAAATAGTTCAACACTAAAGCCGATCTTAAAACCAAGCGTATCAGAACCGACAGCAAAGTTGAAATATCAACAATTACGTTCATGTTTTTCATCAGATGCTGTACGGCCAACTATAACACTCGTACGTCCCGTTCTCAGTAATGAACTGAAAATATTTAGTTGTAATTTGGACGAGCACGATGCAATAAAAAAAGGAGATTTTATCGGTGAAAATAAAGATTCGGGTTTCAATTCAATAACCACCAATCGAAAAAGTACAACAGCCATTGTCGAAGATGAACCAAAATCATGTACAATAACAGCTACAAGCACTACAAACAATACATTGAATGACTGTATAACAAGTTTCTTATATGATGAGGAAGTTAACAGTTCTTCTGAGCCATTAAAAACACCACCTATTCGTACAAAAGATACTGGTTTATTATTCGTTGAAGAAAATTTAAAAAGAACGAACATCATTGATACTCAGTACGACAAACAAATTCCACCACTCAAATCCGAATCATCGTCATTTGTATCTGGTCTTATTCCTGACTTATCAACCGATAGCCTAAATGGGGATAAAGAAAATGAGACAAATGATATTGATAGCCTGGTGATTGAGAGCGATGCAGATAATACTGATGAAAGTCTTGCGTCCTCAGCTTCTAGAGCAAAATCAACCACTACAACGTCAACAACACACACACCATTGATGACGTGGTCACGTATCAAATCCGCTCGTTCATCATGTGAAAATTCATATGATGATATTGATCGATATTCATCATCAAATAAACGTTATAAATTCTCATCATGTTCAAGTAGAGAAACAATTGAGAGTGAGAGATATTCAGCAAGCCCACAAATGTATGATGGACATTATCGTAAACGAGATGTGAGAGTAGCCGCGGATGGACGATATTTTCTTTTGATTGATAGTAACAATAACAATGATGGCAGCTCATCATCAATTGAACATGGGAATTCAGATGAATCTCGGTACAAACTGAATTATGACGAAACCATCTATCCAAGTGGCAGTCTTTCACCTCCACTTGAACAATCGGGTTTTCAAAACAAATCTGATGAAGTACAGATTTGTTCTCAAGGTGCCGAATCATATACGGCTGTTATTAGAAAAATTCCATCAGTACCACCTTGCTCTTCATCGAAAAAAGTAACAACAGTTAAGGTGCGAGCCACGAATCAAGAACTGTCGACAACATTGATACCAGACTCCAATGAAATATCACAAATTGTTCGAGCAACACCCGCTCAAGCTATTCTTTCACCATCGACAACAGATATCAAAAATCGAAAACCACCAGCACCTTTACCACTGGAAATATCCACAGACAGCCATCAATCCTTGAATAAAAAAGCAGAGAGGCGTCTTGTATTTCCATCACGTCTCGGTCGTATATTATTTTTTCGCCGTGTTTTATCTGATTCAGATATTTATCAAAAATTATGTTCAAAAGAAAATGAAATTAGACATAACGTTTATCATTTAGACACAATTCGAGATTATTCAATGGAATATTATATGTTAACAACATTTGGATCAGATTCCCAATTGAGAGCATGGACAGATGATTATTGGGAAACGCGTTTTCAGCACGATTATGAATTAAACGATGAAGAGGAAGATTATAATACCTATAATCATATCACACATAGTAATGATGAAGAAGATGATGAGTTAGAATCTAATCAACAGATGGCAGATGATGAACTCGATTGGTATAGTGAAGATCTTGAATCATTTAATATTTCAAGTCAATTGATGAGTATGAATAGCGATGACAATGTCGAGGAATTCCTTCGTTCGCAACAAGTAAGTAGTTTCTAGATATTGATTCTTCATCTAAATGTGACATTAAATAAATTAGCATTTTTAGCTGTCGGTATCAAGTTTGGCTACGTCAAACGAATCATCCAGTTCTGCCGGCTTTGACGTTGGCGTACCATCATCATGGCCAATTTCGACAGCTGAAAAATCTAGACCTGATGCAAAACATAGTACAACTCTCACTGCACTTGATCCTTGTCCTCTCTCGCACAATGACATACCACAAACAGCAAGTGTCGAAAATACTAATATCGAAGAACAACGTTTCATACTCCAAGAAATATTAAACTATTCATGGGGTACTCAAGAGGCAAAAAGCATATCATCTAGTATTTCGTCAACAAATGATCAATCACATGAACAACATTCCACAACAAAAATAAAATTAAATAATCAAAACGATAGAAAATCCTCAATATGCTCTATAAGCGATCAGGTGTTAAATACAATGAATACGCTCGAGGCAGTAGACACTACTAATCCCAGTATCGAACAAAATCCTTATTTAAAAGACGATCAATTTCGAACAGATTTTTACTATTTATGCCCATTGACCCGTACATCAAGTTTTCCAAAAGGGTCAAAAGAGCAAGATTTTACTTCAAATAATACTAACGATGATGCCAAAATGCATCAGAGCAACGAGCAACAAACGGTCAATATTAGGACAACAAGACAATCGTACGATCTATAGTTTGTAATGTTACTGGTCGTTGAATTTAGTAGGATTATTGTTGGATTTACTACTACATGTATCATTTAATATCTTCGCTCTTTCATTTCTTTACATAGTATCATTTTTCAAAAGTTTCAGTTTCATTATCGCAGTTATGAATTTTTTTCCTGTTATTAAAGAAAGAAAGTAAACGTTTTCTAGCTAGATTTTCTTATTCATTTCATTTTGTTATACCATACTAGGCTATTGTTTTTATGTTTTTGTTCTTTTTCTTCATATTGTTGTACACACACACACACACACTCTACATACATACATTGCTCATATATCGTTATTCCGTTTTTGTAAATTAGAATTTGAGCCAGATATTTCGAACAATTGGGATTTTCTTTTTTCTCTGAATATTTATTTTTACATTACAAAAATGTAAAAATTACATAGTTGCTATTATTATGGCCATATTTTTTATTGTATTTGAAGACTAGAACGGACTAGAATAATTACCTTTGTTGTTATTATTTAATTGTGTATGTTTTCTTAAAATTTTCATTTCTTACTTGCTAGAAATGAGATAACAGTCTTTCGTTTTTTTTTTTTTGTTGATCGCTTCTTGTTAGAAGTTGTTTTTACAGCTATATTTAATAAAAAACAGTTTTTATCATTAGATCTAACTAGTTGAAATCTTCACATTTATAATTAAATTTTTCATTAGTGACATGATCAATGTTCTTGATACGATTAGAAGTAGCTGATAGATTTACCAGTTTTTCATTTTTGGATAGATATTCATTTCAATTACACTAGCTAGCATCGCACAATACATCGAAAATAACTAAAGTCTTTTTTACTAATTTATCTCGATGATGTCGCTGGAGCATCGACAAATATACTAGCGAACGCATGTAAATATTTATGCTAGGAAGAATTTGTTTGAATAGATAAAAGATTAATTTTTAAAATAACAATCAAGTAAAGTGCAACACTAATCCAAACTACGTTATATAATTCGTAAAAATAAGGTCCTTTCTTATACTACAATAGTATTTTCTCTTTTAAACAACTCAGCTGCTTGACTATTGTTTGATTTTCGTTTGAAGAAAAATATTTTACCTATAAAATGAGACTATAACTACATAGGATTTTTTACTAAATGTTTTAAAAATTTGAGCAAGAATTGTTTATTTTTAAAATGTCAAATCTTTACATATTTAAAATTTTTTATTTAAATTGTTTTCAAATATTTTCTTTATTCTCATCATCAATTGATTCATTTCCATTAACATTGTCTCCAGTATAAAATTCATTGTTATAATCTGAATCATCGGCAAATACATCGCCAAATAACGTATCGGTAAGTTCTAAAAAATATTGATTTAAATTTTTGTAAATAATAAATTTAAAAATTTTCTCTTACCTTCAAAACTAATTTTTCCATCATTATTCGATAAGTTAATTAAATCATCAATTTCATTATCTGACAATGGTTCACCTAAGGTGGTCATTAACTTGCGAAATTTATCTGCATCAATATAACCATTTCCTTCGCTATCAAACGTTTTAAGTGCTGCTAGAAGTGCATCACGATTATTAACATTTGTCCATGGTTCCTGACATACCATTAAAACATCTTCGAATGACAGAACATTTCTTCCTTTAATAAAGAAAAAATAAAGTCTCGCTTCAATAATAAACTAACGTTTTGCTAGTTTTTACTCATATATACATATATATGGAAGTTTTAGTTATAGTGCTCTTACTACTACTAATACTACTACTACAGTGTAACAATTAAAATCAAATATAGATCTGAAATATTTTTAACCTTCAACTGAAAAATCTTCAATTCGTTGCTGACAGTCCGTTGAAGATGGATTATAGCCAAGCGCTTGAAGAATTTTTAACAGATTCTGAACACTAATATTGCCGCTATCGTCTTGAAATTTTGAATAGATGTCTTGCATTCCTGTTTGAAAAAGAGAAAGAAGATTTATTTTTAAAATATTATTTAAACTAATAAATGCGACATACGTCGCAAAAATGGCTCATTATTAGCCGATTCATTCTGATATTCATCATCAATATGTTGTTCTTCGTCCATTGGTTCGTTTTTTGTCTATGATTCCTAAGAATTAATTAATACATTAACAAAAAATGAGAAAATCTTAAGATTCTGATTGAAAGGAAGGACTATTTTAATGACACTAATTCTCATTTTACTAATTTTTAGTCTATTACATCTTACACATACAACATCTGAATACATTACCACAATTTTAATAATTTTGTTGTTTTAACTGCTAAAATAATTGAATAATAATTATTTTATTGATAATTATTTAAAAAATGAGTTTTAATTTGTTACATATGTTAGGCGAGAAAGAGGAACAAGCAATTATTAGTATACAAAGAGTCAAATCTTTCAAAAATAGAGAGAAGAGGAAAAAAAATCATAAAAGTAATAATTTAATACTTTTAATATTGCTTGTAAAGCAAAACGGGTCGCAATTGTAATTGTAATTTTATTCTCTTTAGTATATAACTTTTACTCAATGTAAAGCAATGTATATGCTGACATTTTTTTTTCTTATCAAAAACTTCTGCATTTCGTTTTTCGAGAATAAAAGAAAAAAGAAAAGAGAATTACGTGTTCAAAACCAACAATTATTTTCAAGAAAAAAAAAAAAAAAAAGAAGAAGAAATTAATGTACAAAGAGAAAATTTTTTATAGTTGTGTGCGGTTGATATAGTTACTTTTCTTCAAAAAATTTTCGAAAAAGAAACAACTAACTCCCTAAGAGGAAGCCTTTTTCTTTATCATTATAATCTTCTCGTTCGATTCATAATGTAATAACTTAGTGAAAATCTTTCTGGGAAATATAACATTGCATTAATTTGACTGAGCAAGTATCAGTAGTTACAGAAAAAAAAAAAAGAAGAAAACGGTTGATACATAGCAGTCGAACAAATAAAAGATATAATAAGACAGTCAATTTTTTTGCATCAGAGAATGGAAAATCTAATTTGAATAATGTGAGAGTTTAGATTCAATGTATATTAAAAATAGAGTCTTTTTTCCTTTAGATTTTGAAATATATATTAGCAGAAATTATTTGTATTTTACTCTTCAAAACTATAGTTGTATCAACCAGACAAATCTGATTATCCATAGAAATTTGCTCTCTTCATAAGCATAATTTACAAAGTCAATTTGTATTTAGGCAAGACCACTTTCATTATTCCAGGGTTGTACATTTTTTTTCTTTTACATTTATTTAACTAAAAAAAAAGTTAAAATAATATTAAAATAGCATATAAAAAAGTTTTTCGAAAGATCACAATCGATTTAAAATGTAGCTAGAAAATATTCATTAATGGATGATAGTGTAATAAGCAATCGAATGAAACATTGGCTAAAGTAAATGCAGGATGTTATCGTTGATTTGAAAACCTTAACGAAAATGCTTGTTGCTTTCGAAGAACAGTGGTTAATAAGAAAAGTTTCGAATAAGATATCTTATACATATATGAATGGATAGATCTGACTAGAAGTGATACTTCCTCTTTTGATAAAAAATTTATTGTTATTCGTGCGGAAGAAGAAGTTATTGAAATAGGTTACTAGCAAATACAAAATTTTCGATTCATATAACCAATGCAAAATAAAATCAGTAGAGTGACAAGAAATTCCAACTTTATTACTGTTTCCTTTCCCTAACTGGAAAGCATCACCCCTAAATCGACTATTGGTACATATTATACTACATTTGATTTATCCCTTTGAAATAGCTTACTCTCTATATTATTTCATTATTTTTTCACCTAGGTACCATCTAAACATTGCATTCATAAAATCCTTTTAGGTAGAAAAAACGGATAAAGATTTAAATTTTACTGTAACCATATTTTATACAAAATTTAGTTCTCTCTCTTGTACACTATAGAGATTTCTCACTATCCTCATATCGAAACTTTTAGTCTGGATACTGTGACCGAGATGGATATGTCAAAAAACAGGATGTTAATAAGATACAAATTTTCCTATTTATTAAATTTAATAGGGTTTATAAATAAATATATCCGAAGGATCGCAATGAACTTCATTCTGAAAAATCTCATCTCGCGTTTGCCCACAAACACACATTAAACATTGAGAAACGGCGGACAATTGTGAGTGTGAGAACATAAACATTGGAAAAAAGTGCATTTCGATTATTTTGTATTTTATCTATTTTCAATACATCTCCAGTCAAGAATAAAGAATATTATCCTTATTCAAAATTAACTGACTCCCCCTGTTACATGGTTATGACAACAATGCTGGGTACTTTTCTGTACTAAAAACTTTGAGCTGAACAGATTGTGATACAGCTACTTTTTTCACACAGTTTTTTCACAGTTATACAAATTCTACCTCGAAAAAACTGTATACGTTAAATACTACAGAGAAATCAAAGGTATCTTATCTAGTAGATCGTATAGTTTTCATATGCAGGTTATTCGGTGTACTCTACAAAGCACAGTGGGCATTTTCTGCTAGAGCAGGCGGACTTTAGCTTTATGAGCGAACTAAAATTTCATGAACCATTTTTTTATAGGTTTTTCATGATCCTCTTTCTAATGGCATGAGAGTTAGGTTTTGAAAAAGTTTTCTAAGGAGCTT